ATGAGTGTATATACTTTTACTTATATACATACATTTACTTATATATACACATATGCCAATATTTCATTGCTAACGCTGCATTTACTCACTGAGCACTTGCCGCGCATACTCTGTGCGCAACTTGCTGTCATTAGATCTACACATACACACACACGCACACATACTAAAATCCCCCAACCATGAAATCCTAAGTGTGTAATAAAAGAAAAGTCGATAAAGTTGATGCGAAGCGTCGTCGGCAAGTGAAATGTTGTTGCATGCTTGCAATGTTTGTTGTATAAATTGGGTTGTTGTTGTTGTTGTTGTAGTTGCGCATGTCTATAGTAACTTCGGCTTGTGCAGAATTTGCCGGTAAATACACGAAATTACGGTGCTATTACAAGGCGTCGAAGGTGGCAGAGGCGTTGGCTGCAAGCTGCTCGATGGCGGCATAACAACAAAAACAAATATAAAATAGCAAATAGAGTGGGCGATTTGGTGAGTGGTGGGGAAACACACATGCTTGTCTGTTTGTGTTGTTGCTGGTGGAGCTGCAAACTTTATAACTGTTGAGTTTGGGCATTTTTGGCGCTGCAAAGCCGAGCGTCATCAAAACATATTTACTCACAATACATATATGCATGCATATGTATATGTAGATGCTAATGCTCGTTTCGGTTTCTATATAAGTCTGTTTGTGTATGTGTACGTAACAGCCCACAGCCGACGTAGCTGAAATGCCGACCGACTAACCGAACGACCGAAGCTACGAACTGCCTCCACTAACCGTACTCTGTTTTTGACTACTAGCGAGTTTTTTCGGCGTAGCGCCGTGTCCAACCTTGCACAATGCAAAACTCAGAAAGCATTCGGCGTTCGGCTACAGACTGTTTAGCTGAGCGACGAAGGCGTACAAACACGAGTGCGTTGATGATATATAAGTATGTATGTATTGAGCGACTTTTGAGCACTCGTACGAAAAGCGGCGAGTAGACAAACGGAAATGAAACGCCATTTTTGAAGGAACGAAATGTCACACACAAATGCATATATACATATATGCCTACACACATGCATACATGCATATAGGGGAGTACTATCAAGCTTATATATACATTAATGTATACATATATTTAAGGCATTTCTTTTGTCTGCCATTTCATTTCGTTTCAACGAGTGAATTTCGCGTAAACGATTCCTTGCTCCGTTATAAATGCCACAGCAACAACAAATAAAACAACAACACCACCGCCGCCTAACGACTTTACGAGCATAGCCGTTTGGTGCACACGAAGCCGAATGCAGCAGCCGCCGTCCATATTCAAAGACCGCCGCAACATTTAGAAGTTCAATTGTGCCGGCCAATGCCAGTCGAAGTTAGCAGTCAGCAGTTAGCGGCAGCAATCAGCATCCAGTTAACCAGCAGCTCTACCAAACGCCGTTACCAGTCAGCATCAGCTGTAAAGCGTTACCAAGTGCGCGTCAAGCTAATTTCAAGCAAAAGATTTGCGATTGAAAAAAATAAATTTAAAATTATTAAATCGAAAAAATTTAGAGAAAATAATAAAATGAAAGGAAAATAAATAAAATAAAGAAAAATAAATAAAAGAAAAGCAAGCAAATAATCAAAAAGCAAAGTAAACGCCGTCACAGCAACACCAAAGTGGGCAGCCAGCTGGAGCTTAAACAGCCAACAAAACGAAAGTAATCGCATCGTATTAAAACTTGAGTGTTTTGCACCAAAAACAAGCGAAAAAGTAGAGGAAAAAATCGCAGACAAGTGCTTTGCATTGAGCGTCGCTGAAGACATAGTTAAAGCGTTTTCTTTATTTCGCCAACGCTGACTAACGATATTGCCTTGTAAGGCATAGAAAATAGTTGTGAAAAGCACTAGTAGCAAGTTAAATACAGGCACATGTAGTTACGGCAAACGCGCGCGTTCTACACACTGAAGTATATATATTTGCATATAAATTATATACAAAAATAACAAAAAAAAATTTAAAAATACATACAAACATATTTATATACACTCCAAAATGCCAAGCGCATCTTTGTAATTTCCTAAATCACACTACACGCTATTTACGCCGTGTCTCAGCGTCCATATTGTGTGCGATTGCTTAACTAACGGTAGACTACGCTGTTGTATATGTGTGTGTGCTTATAAGAAAATTTATTGCTACAAAAGCGCACGCCAGCCCAGCGATAGTCAGTCAGCCAAGCAACCAAGCAGGCAGCGAACCAAGCAATAAACCAACAACAAGCCAACGCAGCAGTGCGCGATTGACTGGTAACGTTTATAAAACAGACCAAGTGTTTACTTGTGTATGTGCATGTGTGTGTGTGTGTGAGCGCGAATTCCTAATAACAAATGTAAGTTGCGCTATAGACATTTAGTTTCGCATAGCAGCGCCGCGAGGTTACGTATACGCCTCAGTGCACCGCCACTAGTGAGCCACCAGCGGATATCCGTGTCTGCGTTTGAATAACTTAAAAAAGAAAAAGACATAGGAATTTTAGTGTACGTTGTTCCTGCGGCAAGCGGTCAGTGTGAATTAATTGTCCATTTATGTGCAACAGCTAAGATTGTGAAGAAAGTAATAGATAAAAAAGAAAAATTGAGCTGCAAAAAAGTTACAAAAAAAAACAAGTAAAAGTTTTAATATAAATGTTCAAATTTAAAATAAATTTTTAAATGTAAACTAAAAGAAAAACAAAAAAATAAAAAATTATTATTAATTATAATAATTAAAAAAAATTAACAGAATTAAAAATAATTACGTATAATTGAAAAAAAAAATTAAAAATAATTACG